TGAGCATTTGAAACTGGCATACCATTTTTACAGTCTTGCATATGATGTATAGTTTTGCAAAGGTTACTAAGTATAATGATCTTCATTGAGATAAAAAGTACTAATTTTTACATAGACTAGAAAAATTGCCAAATATTGTGGAGTGGTTTTAAACACAGATCAAATTATCTTTCATTTTCTTTCTGTTCCCATTATATATACATACTATGGATGTTTTCAAATAACCATAGAACTGTTTCTTTCTTTGGGCCACACCAGGTGTAACAGGTGGCTCCTACCTAGGTGAGCATATCTGCAGGCAGACAGACTTGGGGGCAAGCCTAGAACTGGCAGCCTTCCTAGCTTAAATGTCAATGCTTTGCAAACCTAAAGGTATAAGTTATAATCTCATAGAGAACCCAGCCCTTCAGATAATTTGAATGCAGATGTAATTTCTATGTTTTATGAATAGAATTATGTCATTTCCGTAGCCATTAGTAACAATTCTTGGTTTCAAATGTACACATGATGATTTGGCAAATTACAACTGAAGTGGAAGTAGTTCAAGATGAGTTTGAGACAGAGTGAGTGTTAGAATATTTTACAGTAGAAGCAGACACACTTCATAATCATCTACAGAGCTAATTAAAATTGTAAAAGTATGTTTAGATGCAGAGTGCTAAGGAGATAAAGTGTGTGGTGCTATAACCAAGCCAGGTGACTTTTTGTTGGCAAGGTCTCTACCAAGGAAAGGAACACTGGGTTCCTAAGTGCTGAAGAATGTTTATCTGTCCTGTCCTTTTATACTTAGCATCATGGGCTTGGAAAAGATGGAGTAAGATCGTAGTTCAGTCCTCATATTTCAGTACTTGCAGGAAGATCTGAGAATTATAAGATGCCACTTATTTATGTACAGATGGAAACTAGGACTGGGATGAGAGCTAAAAATTCCCTGTGTATGTCTAATGCTACATTATAATCCAGCTTTTCTAAAGCTTCATTTATCTTAATTGTCCTAAGTACGTCATGTTGCCTGCCCCATGCCACAGTCCCCAGAGCTGCTAGAACAGGCAGCAAAGTGTTGTAAGATGGCAGCTTCTGAGAATCTTCAGGTGTAGAGCAGTCTTTCCATCACCACCCAATGTTTCATGATCCTAATGCACAGTGATTCCCAAATCTGTTGCTATGGATTTATTTGGGATAAATGTTTGTTGTGGAGGATGAAGAAAAGAACAGAAATATAGACAGCTTTCATATCACGCTATACATGCTCACATATGAGAGTAGAGGGAGATACAGGATAGGAAGACCTGTCAACTGTGTCAACTGCAATATAGATGAAACAAAGGCTCAAGTGGGCTGATGAAGGATTCTTTGAGCAAACACTGGCTGTTAGAGAAGGCATTAAGAGTCTGAATGATGGCAGCAGCTATAGCAGAAAAGCCAACTTGGAAGCATGTGCTTTTGAAGTGGTATATGTCACTTGTTAGGGATGGTTAATGACATCCAAACCTGAGTTTTGGAGACATCTGAAATGGAATAGATTGGCAAATTTAAGTTCTTTATATTTGATATGTGGGAAATTGGTTTATTTAGCATATATTTATTCGGGTTGCTTTTTAAAACCTCCAATATATGTTAATGGGTGATTCTTATGCTATCATTGTATGTTTCCAGCTAGTATAACACTGCACCCAAGCCTGATCTCAACGTTAGTCCTCAGACCAATCTTGTACAAGGATTCTCTGAGTGCAATGTCACTTTCTATAGGATGCTTCTCTTGATTTCATCCAACCCACCAGTGTACTTCAGAGATGCCTTTTTTTGTAATGATTACCAAATTTCATTGATATTTGTTTAGTATCTTTCCCTTTTTGATCCAGGTATCAATTTCTCAGTATAACAATTTCCATTCTTTTTTGTTTTCCTCTTGTATCTTGAACAATCCCAATAAGACTTTCTTTTTTCTTTAAAAATACAAAATATAGTATGTTTGGGCTATTTGATTGAAACTAAACAACAAACTGGAAATATTTTGGGAATCTTCTCAGGAGACAGTTTCAGAAGAAGAAAAATACCCAAGATTTTAAGCTACCAAAGTATTCAGAATCATATTTTTTATGCTAGCCTGTGACAACTTTCAAATCTAAAAATATCTTTAACAGCTTTTTGTAGTGAGATATCCATCCTGCCCACACCTGTTAACAGGATATCACATTACAGCTTTTCAAAAATATCTTTAGATATTCCTCAAAAACAAATATTGTTCTTTGAATGGAAGATTCAGTTGAATGACAGCCTCTTTCATTTAGTGGGGTGGTTTGTTCTTTAAATTTTGCTGACAGGTTCTTATGACAGCCCTCAAATGGAAGCTTGAATTCACTTGTCATATCTATTAAAGTCAGTTTTTCTCTCTGCCTGCCTGCCTGCCTCTCCTTCTCTCTGTTTCTTTGCTGTGACCCTTTCACATTTCATTGTACCTATTGACCTTAAAGATAGAAAAGATAATATAAAGAGAATATAGACAGTCATTTGCTTCATAAGGCTGCAGTCCAGCAACAGAGATGATTCACTGCTGAATTCTTCTTAAGAGAAACATCATTGAAATGTGGCAGAATTTTTGCTAATTTTCACTTCATCCTATTACTCTATGGAGAACAAGAGCACCTGATAGATTTTAAATCCCGATCAGCAAATATTAATAGCTACAAAATGGCACTATTTTGTATGAAAAGGTTTTAAAATTGATATCTCCATGATAACAATATAATTGTAAAACAGTTTCTTCATCTTCTTTTAATGACTTTGCTATTCTGGTTAGCCAGTGTGCCCTCCACTGTCTCTGTCTCCACACTGAGACTGCACATGAGCCACCATGCTTGTGTTCATGTGGTCCTCATGCTTTTGCAGTATGCACTTCATCCACTGTCTGTGTTGTAAATTGCCACATATGATGGATAGAGCTAGAGCTGTACTTAAAGCAATCAGTAGTGGTTATAGTTTTTTTTTTAATTATAAACTCTTTTTGAAGGTCTTTATCTTGGGAGTTTAATTTTCAGTTATAATAGAACATTCATATGTGTTGACATTTCATTTCCTTATGAAGTAAAATTGTTGTTGCTATAAAAAAGAAGAAGGAAAAAGAAAAAGAGGCGGCATTGGTGGTGCATGCCTTTAATCCCAGCACTCAGGAGGCAGAGGCAGGTGGATCTTTGTGAGTTCAAGGCCAGCCTAGTCTATAAAGCTAGTTCCAGGACAGGCTCCAAAGCAATACAGAGAAACCCTGTCTCTAGGGGGAAAAAAAAGAACAAGAAGAAAAAAACAATCTACTATGTTCAGAAAGACAAGTGGAAAGTCAAAGACACACTGGCTGTCACCCACTTGTTAGACAACAGCACCAAATAGCTTTAAATAACAATAGCCTTTAAAATAACAATAACATGCAAAATCAGGTACATCAGACTCTACCAGCAAATATTCACCAGTAAAGCTTTTATATCAAAGACTGGAACTCTTAGAGAGATTCTAACATCAATCGATCCCTGGTGTCTTAGGTGACTTGTCAAAGGAGTGCTACCTTGATGCCCAAGAGGAGCAATTCAGCTAAAGGTCAAGGAAGCAATTAATGTCTCTGCTTTCTCCTAAAGAATGTCTACAGCAAATGTTGACACTGTCACCCTGTCAGTCTCAGCAAACAAACCAAGCACATATAGTGAGATGAAAGTTAAAGTTCAAATGAAACATATTGCCATCATTATTTGGTTCCTGATTGGAAATGCTTATGGCTGCCTAAGGAGAGTTTCAGATGAATGTATTGAAGGACACTGCTCTTGCTGAAGAATACCCATTGTTCATCTTTCTGCTTTCTCTGAATCTTTGAGGGTCAATGTTTGTGGGAGAAAGAGAGTGAGTAGTAGATGTTATGATGCTGTGCCTAGTACCAAAATAACCACACAAAGACACATGGCTATAAATAGCACATGGTATATTGTTGAGTAGACTTAAGCATCTTTATCTTTCTGAATAATGAAAGGTCATAAAGTTTAGGTTGCTACACATTACCAAGACACTTGGAGATGTACTGTGAAGTTGCTATAGAATTAAGATATTAGACTCCCACCAACCTTTCTTTTAATTCAGTTGAACCCAGTGATGGCCGTCAAGACATGTTTTTAAAAACTGTATCAATTACTTTGTGCTTCACCTAGTGTTGCAGAAATAGATGGTGGTGGTGTCAACTTCAATAAACATCAAATGAAGAGTTAGGTTAAATTATGAAACACTTGTTTATTTTTTTTTTAAATTGAGGGTAGGAGAGATATGGGCATGCCACAGTCTAGGTGTGGAATGTGCGAAGATTAAAGGACAACTTGGGGGAGTAGGCTCTTTCCTTCAAGCATATGGGTTCTAGAGACTGAATTTGGGTCCTCATTTTGGCAGCAAGCTCCTTTACCCACTGAGCCATCATGTTGTCCCCATAAAATATTTATAAAGGGTTTGCTAGTTTATTTCATCTAAAGTCAATGAGTATTCAACAATACCTTGAACTGATAAGGGCTGTATTTCCATCAGATTTCTGCTTTTGTAGTACTTAAAAATATTACTTTTTATTATTTTCTGTAATCATGCAAAATAATGAGTCCTTTTATAACATTTTCATGCCTGCATAGTATTCTACTCCTACCCTCCCACGCCACCTTTCCCCAGCTCCCTTCTCGGCACTTCTTTCCTTTTATATATAAGCAGTCCCACATCTATATGTTAAAATCTAGATTCCACATATAAAGTATAACATAAATATTTGCCTTTCTTTTCCTCTCCCATTAGTCCATCCTTCTTACACACAGGTGACCCTTCTACCTTCTTACCTAATAATCTAGGAAAATCTTGATTAAATCTTAAAACTAGATTCCTCATACGAGGAAAACCATGTAATAATTACCCTGACTTATTTCATTTAGCAGGATTAAAACAACTGCTGTTTTTTGTTTGTTTGTTTTTTTCTTTCAGAGATCAGAGAAGTTGATGATGACAGGCAGGTGGTCGCAGAGATCATGGCAAGAAGTTTTATTCCAACTCTGATAACGACTATTTCTTGGGAAGGCTTTCACTTTGCTGGTCATGAGATCCGGATTACTGAAGCCAAAGATTGTTATGGTGCTGTTGTCTGGCCATCGGTATAATTTCTTAAAAATTTGCTGTACCCCATTATTTCTCAGCTTTATTCATTGTTATAGCCTACTTGGAAGAATAAAACATGTTGCAAGTTCTATTTTGTGATTTCAAACATTAAAATTTAGACATTATGCAATGGGAAATTGCTTACAACATTTACATTTGTTTTTTACTTTGTTGACATTTGTAGGCTAAATAAAGATGTGGATACCTTCAGTTTGGGGACTATGAGAGATGAAAAGAGTGGATGTTTTCACTTCCCATTTTATTGGATCTGTTTGAGTTAAGCAAACCTGAAGGATGTCTATTTGAGTATCACAAGCAGGATACTCTCCAAGACCCTCATTTCTTTACCAATTATCTCATGAAAGGTGGCAGACCACCACTACTCCCTACTCCAACCTCACATATTTCTTGGAAATATTGTGGTATTGTTAGATGTTTGAAGAAAGTCAATTTTAAACAACCACACTCAGTATTTTCACTCATTTCTGTCTTCCATTTCAGCAAGGACTTTCTAGCTGACCAAAATGTTGAGCCTATCAGATGTTGTACCTCTGATGAAATTTTCTGGAATGATGTATATGAACATCACAAATTTACTCATACCCAGATGTGCACACATGCAGATCATAATCTCTATGGAACACCTACCTAATAGGGTTTAATTTTACTATTAATACTTTAAACACCACTTTTTCTCGATTTCCATAGGCCCTTGTTCTATGCTATTTCCTGGAAACACATACCAAACAATATAACATGGTTGATAAAAATGTGATTGAAATTGGAGCTGGGACCGGGCTTGTCTCCATTGTGGCAAGTTTACTTGGTAAGTATGTATTTTTTTTTTTTTTTGAATGGAGTTGGTTAGAAAAGTAATGACCAAATATCATTAGTTATTTTTGCTTTCTAGTGTATTATGGTCTGGGCTTATATGTAACTCCTCAGTTGTTTTTCTTTTAAGATTTATTTTATGTATCTGAGTGCTCTATCTGCATGTATGACTTTATGCCAGAAGAACATCAGATTCCACTACCAATGGTTGTAAGCCACTGCGTGGTTGTTGGGAATTAAACTCAGGTTCTCATGGAAGAGCAGCCAGTGCTCTTAACTGCTGAGCCATCTCTCCAGCCCCTCCTTAATTGTTAAAAACAGACTTCATCAAGAGACTTTACCAATAATAACATCTCTTTTCTGGTTTCTTTCCAGAGTTTTCTGTGTAAATAGTTTTAAATCTCCTGTAGAATGAGAGCTTACAAGCCTAGATAGGAGGTGAAATTAGTCATCCTGCTAGATTCCTTTGGGGGTTTTGGAGTCCTATACTTTTATGAACATGCACCTGTTAAAATAAGGAAGGAGTACTAGAAATTACATGAAACTTACACCTCAGCTTTGATTTTTAGGGGTTTTTCCTTGGATTTGTTTTTTTTTTTAATTTCCATTCTCATTTGGTCCTACATGAAAGGCTCAGCATTTTTTTCTTTCAGACCCTTGATGACCATGTTTATTAGAGGGTTGGAGAAAAATAAAAATGCAATCAACTTTTTTAGGGTTGGAAGAATCAGGTCATTTTTTAATGCTATGATATAGGCCTCTCCCTTTATATGTCTTACACATTTCAAGAGGTGACTGTACAATCTTCTATTTTCTGCACAGGATAAATCCTGTGATTCAGCCAACTCTTGATGGAACAGCTAATAAAATACCATATATGTAGACCATGAATATTGGAATATTCTACTTTGTTCACTTATGCATTTCTTCATGTGTCTGTGCATTGACTTTTATAATAGACACAGTGCATTATATGCCATCCAGTATCATATTCCAATGGTGTTTATTAGTGGGTGATCTGTCCATAAGTCCTGGATCATTTCTCCACCTAGATTTTCTTATCTATATTACACAGGTGAGATCCAGTAGATTGTTTGTGGTACTTGTCCTAGTTAATCCTGTTATTATGATAAACACCAGAACCAAAAAAATGTTGGAAGGAAAGGGTTTATTTCATCTCCAACTCTTGGGTCACATTTTATCACTGAAGGAAGTAAAGATAGGAACTCCAGGCAAGAAACTGGAGTCAGGAACTGATACAGAGGCCATGGAGGAGTGCTGCTTATTGGCTTGGTTGTCATAGCTTTCTCAACCCACTTTCTTATACAAATAAGGACCACTTGCTCAAACTGGGCCCTCCTACATCAATCATTAATCCAGAAAATGCTCCCGTTAACTTGGCCACAGGACAGTTTGATGGAAACATGACAGTCAAGTTGACAGAGAACTAGCCAGCCTGGTATCGATAGTTTGTTGTTATCTGTTAATCACCAAGGTTCAAAGCATGCAGAGGCTTGAGATTCTTTGGAAAGTACCTGGTTAGCCTTGGATCACAGCAATAAGGTGTTCTTCTTATAGTCATTTTTCTCCTAAATTGAGAACAACAATGATGAGCTAGACAAAAACCCACTGGGTCACCAGGATAGAGAAATACTACAAGATTCTGTTTTTTTTCTTTTAAAGGAGTGGCAGAAAAGTATATTAGTGTCCATTTTGAAAAGCATTGTTCTTCTGTATGTGTGCCCTTTGGGTCTACAGTTGTAAAGAATCTCAGAGTGCATGTTGGTTGAAACCTGACTGACTGACCTTATTCCAGGAGGGTCACTTTTCCTTCATTCGTTTTTCACAGGTGCTCGAGTGACTGCTACAGACTTACCTGAATTACTTGGAAACTTGCAGTATAATATTTCCAGAAATACCAAAATGAAATGCAAGCATTTGCCTCAGGTTAAAGAACTATCCTGGGGAGTAGCATTGGACAGAAACTTTCCCAGGTCTGACAATAACTTTGACTACATCCTGGCAGCAGATGTTGTCTATGCCCATCCTTTCCTGGAGGAGCTTCTCATGACCTTTGACCATCTCTGCAGAGAAACTACCATCATCCTCTGGGCCATGAGATTCAGGCTGGACAAAGAAAATAAATTTGTAGATAGATTTAAGGAACTGTTTGACCTGGAGGAAATTTCTAGTTACCCTAGCCTGAATATTAAGTTGTACAAAGCTATGAAGAAAAATCGGAGGAGTGCATAGTGCATATTGTCTGTGAATTAGGGCAATGACATGTAAAGGTAGTTTCTAGTAGATCATTACTTTAAAGAACACACACATACACACACACACACACACACACACACACACACACACACACACACACAAACATCACTGTAAGAATAAAAAGTAACTCTAAACTTGCTTATTATAGGCAAGGATTTTTACATACACACAGTAGCTGCATCTGTAGGATTAAAATATTTTGTTCCCAAGTCTGTCTGCTCAGCACGATAACTACATGGTAACAAACTTTCAGTAACACCATGCTGTGTCATCATTGCAAAACTAATTTTCAATAATGGTATCTCTAACGTAATGTTATTAATTTTACTTGTTTTTGAGAATGTATCTTAGATTGGCCTTGTACTAGAGATTTTATCTCAGCCTCTAGAGTGCTAGCACTCCAGATGTGTACCACACATACCCATCCATGTTGTTAATCCTTTTAAATATAGGTTTAAATGTTTATATCTTTAGAGATCAAGATCAAACTGATAGTGTTATTTGAAAATAAATCTAAAAAGGCAGATAGATGATGTAATAATGATCAGTGCTAGATGTCTGTGGTTCTCAGCAGTGGCAACTTAGAGAGGGGTGGGTGTTATTTCTGCTTGGTGGGTTGGACCTCTAACATAACAACTGAATTAACCATGCATGTGGAATATTTCCCTCTAACAGATAAAAAGTATGAATGGGAAGAGCATAAGAATATCTAAGATTATTGCTTGTTTTTGTAAGACAAGTAAAATGTATTTTTCACAGAAATGGAAATAATTGTAAGTACTTTGGGTTGGAAATACATAAAAAGGTTTAGGTTACTACTCTCGAATAAGTAGACATGGTTTAAACAGATATGTCTAGATATTTGAAATCTCAGATTTTTTCTTGTGGCCCTTAATGATTAGAATAAGCTTTAAAGTAATAAAAGTCAGCATGGAAAGAGGAAAGAACTAGGCCTTTATGCCATGTGACTGCCTGGACTGTGTTGTTGGCAACACGCTGCAATGTCTTCAGCTAGGTTGTCATGTGCCTTGGTGATAATTCTCCTCCAGGGTCATCTCTTTCTTCTTGGCTGAACATTATCATGGTTAAACACATGTATGATTATCTTCTGGGCCCTGCACTGTGAGTTAGAATGCAGGTATACTGCAGTATAATGCTCTATGCATGGGTTTTCTTAGGATCACATCTCAACAGTGTCTGTTTGCATGGATGTTTGTCCTTCTCAGGTTTATTAGTGTTCAGCTTGCACAGGACAATGATATCATTATTTCACAGATAAGAACCAAGACCTAGGTTACACAGCTGAGGAGTGAAATATAGAGACAGTCACACCCAGGTCTGTTTGAGCACAGAATATGAATTTACAATTTCAGTACTGTCTTTAGGCATTAAAAAATGCAACTTTTAAACACATTAAACAACCTAGGTCAGTTCTTCAAAAGGAATAGATACTCAGAAAGAATAACAAATATATTTTAAAATGAGACCTTTTCTTCTTAATATTGTCCCTCAATTTTCTACCCATGGTAGGGGACGTCATAGAAGACTGTGATGGAAGTTACACCTGCACACTATTGGAAGGGGTGCCTTAGGCAGGAGGAACAGCAACACAGGGACTGTGTGGTGATAAAGTCGTCCTGAAGTTATCTGAGCAGTCCGTTACTATGTTCACCACATCATTTCAGGCTCCCTTCTGCAGAAACAGAGAGCCACTGGATGACTCTTAATTAAAGAGTTAATGTAATTAAATGTTTCGGCCTGTAGAGACTTCTTGGCTTGGGTTCTGAGAATGGGATCTCAAAGTCCAGACACCAGCTGGGAGCTGTGGCATCCATCCAAGAAAAGGATAGTAAGAAATCAACAAGGGTGGGGGTGGATGAGGGAGGTCAGCTGACCTAGCTGTACTCTGAAGCCAGAAGCAGCAGTGTTCTACCAGGTGGCCTGTGGAATGTGAGCAAGAAGCCAGGGCTGACTCTGAGATATTCTTTGAGCTGCAGGCTATGGACTCAGCTTTCAGTTCAGAGAAGGCTTATGAAGGCCCTTTGCAGAGCAAGATGAACTAAAATGACTGAGCCCTGAGGTTCATCGGCATTAGGCATCAGACAGACATTTTCAGAATTTTTTGGAGGTTATGTACCCTTCTTCAGTAGTAGCTGTATATGTGGACCCTGAAAAAATAGTTTAATGGCACAGCCTTCTAGAAACTGTCAATGGGCTTGCTAATTTCTAAAAGTTGCCTCAGAAGAATGGAAAAGTCCGACTATCACAGGCCTGACAGAAAAGATCTTGGTGTAATAAGTTGTGGGAAAAAAAACAACCTTTGACTATTGTTAAAAAGTGTTTGAGTATCATTTTGAAATAATTTATAAGTGGGGGTGATAAAAGTGTTCTCTCAAAGACTGGTGGGATCAAACCAACCATTTAGTTACTTGAAGTTTTTCTTTTCCAAACATATCTATTCCCATTGTCTTACTCAGTTTATAGTTTTCACTTGAGAATTCTAACGCCACTCTTTTATGGAGTGCCTCTGACCTCCTATTTCATTCTGTGTTTTGTCTAGTCTTCCTGGTTTTGTTTTTTCTTTCTCTGCAGCTTCTCCATGCTTTTCTAGGTTTAGTTTTTACAGTAGTTCAGTTTCAAATGATGCAATTTGTATAGGCCTTTTATATCTCACAATTCTTGTTTTAAAAATGTGTAGGAATCAATTTGTTGACTTCAATTTGAACAATTCATGTTATGAAGTTTAAGACAAGTGAGACTATGTTTCAGAGATGACAAACTGACCTGTAAGCAATGTTCTTTGACAGCTTAAAGTGACACATTGATAATCCTAGAAATGGCTTCCTCAAAAGCTTTAAATATGAAATGTTGTAGAATTTAATGATACATTTATGATACATTTGTACCTTTTAAAATCAGAACATTAGAAACATGTTTCCATTCTGTATTCATATTTTATTTCCCTCTCCTCTTTGGGGATTGCAATGAGAGGCAGTAAATAACCTGACATTTTCATCAAATAGTGTTAATTCATTATTATGGAAGAAATTGACAAGAAAACATTAGAGATTTTTTTTTAAACACTCAAGTTCCAGGAATTTGGTATTCGGTGAGGATGCTATAGCTTCAGAACCATAGGAAACGAAATCACTGTGAGAGCTGGTAAATGTATCTCTAGAAGTGGATGTGGGATACAGGCAGGAGAAATGTAAAAAAACTTCAGGTAGATGTGTGTGTGTGTGTGTGTGTGTGTGTGTGTGTGTGTGTGTGTGTACACACGTGACCTCAGTTCTTTATATGTTCTTTTCAAAAGTTGAAAGTTGATCACATATGAGCTTCATAACCAGGGTTGGTATTTAAGTTTGTACTATGAAATTAAGTTTGGCATACTACCTGCAAGCCTCAGGTCAACATTTACTCTATTTCTAAGTCCTACACCAAAGCAAATAATGTTCTGTATAATTATATGGTGGTATTGGCAGGACAGGATGTATTAGATGGCCTTAAGATTTATTTATTCTGGGGTCATATTAACTCCATCATTTTGAATTGCATTTTAGCCTTTACTTACAGTGTGTGGCTGTGTACTTTTAGATCACCAAGCATCTGTAATCGATTTCTTATTGTATTAAGCTCACCTTTGGCATCTATTATAAACACTGTTTTAATTGAATACATTCCAAGGTAGGGATTTCCCCCACCCCCCTCCACAATCTTCTCACTTTCTTTGTTTCTAAGCCAGTTTTCTTTCTAAGAAATCTAATCAAGCTTCACAATTGCACTGATCATCAAGGGATTTTAAGGATTCATTGAAAATGAAAACAGATGTCCAGGGTGAATATGATGAGAGCAAAATTAGAAACATAATAGACACTAATTGTTTAAGCTTGGATAATCAAAAATATGTGACTAAGGTTAAGATGTACCATTAAAATTTTATATCAAGATGAATGCTTTTTGAAAATCCTGTAGTTGTGGTTAAGGCCTTAAATTATTATTTTTCCCCCTTTCATTTAAATTATTCTTACCTTCATGCTTTTTATTTTATTTTTTGGGTATTGTGATTTAATTTGTTTTCTAGAGTTATGATTTATTTTGTGTTTCTTATCTCTGTTCCCTTTATTGGTAAAGTATAGATTATAATGGTAAAAGTTGTTTCTTTTTTTTGTATTTTATTTTAATATATATATATAATATATATAATATATATATTATATATTATATATATATATATAGCCAAGTCCATTTAAAAGAAAACAAACATTTATAGACAATATTTGGGAATTTGGGCATCATTCTTTCCAAACTATTTCCTGCTGGTAAGGGGCACTGTCATGGGGGATTCGAAGAAGATTCAGAAATCCTGGCTGTAGTCTGTAAGGCTGCTTTGTCCAGCTGTTTAGAATGTAGGATTACCTCGTACTCTGTTTCAGGTGGTTTGGCTTGATCAAACCACATTAGTCTGGAAGGAATCCACATCTTTTCATTTTCTGTGGAAACAAAAATAGAAATCCTTTTCCCCAGTAACTTGTTCTTGAACTTAAATTTTGGAGTCAAAGCATTTTTTTTTTAATTTATTATTTTACATGTCGATCCAAGTTCCCTCTCCCTCCCTCTCTCTCCCTCCCTTCCTTCCTCCATCCCTCTATCCCTCTCTCCCTCCCTTCCTCCCTCTCTCCTTCCCTCCCTTTTACCCTCTCTGCCCTCTCACATGCACTCTAACCACCCTCCCCTCCCATCCCCCCACCCCAATTCCATATGTAGGGGAATGACATCCAGTTGGGGTCATGTAGATCTGACAGGTCATGTGAAGTAGGGACTAGGGCTTCTCTCCTGTCTCTAGATTAAGGCAGTTATCCCTCCATGGGGGATATGTTCGCAAAGTCCTTTTGTGCACCAGGGATACATCCTGGCTCCACTGTCTGAGGTCCCTTAGACTGCTCAGTCCTTCTGGCTGAGACCCATATTCAGGGGGGTCTGAGTCAGTCCCATGCTGGCTTCCCAGCTATCAGTCTAGTGGCCATTAGCTCCTCCTTGTTCAGGTAAGCTGTCTCTATGTGTTTCTGCCACTGTCTGAGGTCCCTTAGACTGCTCAGTCCTTCTGGCTGAGACCCATATTCAGGGGGGTCTGAGTCAGTCCCATGCTGGCTTCCCAGTTATCAGTCTAGTGGCCATTAGCTCCTCCTTGTTCAGGTAAGCTGTCTCTATGTGTTTCTGCCACTGTCTGAGGTCCCTTAGACTGCTCAGTCCTTCTGGCTGAGACCCATATTCAGGGGGGTCTGAGTCAGTCCCATGCTGGCTTCCCAGCTATCAGTCTAGTGGCCATTAGCTCCTCCTTGTTCAGGTAAGCTGTCTCTATGTGTTTCTGCCGCCTGGTCTTGTCCTCTCCATCTGCATCTGGGTTCTAGTTCGACTCAGTGTTTATGTATGGATGTTTGATCCTGTTTTCAACAGGCATTAGTTGAGGGCTCCATGGAGAAGTTAGTTGTTGATCTCACACTCCGGGAAGGACATTTATGGTAGCCTTTCCACGGAAGCTCAAATTGTTAGTTGGGAGCAGTCTTGTAGTTCTCTAGACCTTTCTTTGTGTTCAGTTTTAT